TTCAACCCTTGGCTGGGGGGCTTACACTGGACCTCAAGGTGAGCTGGAGGTGAGTAAGGGGGTCTTCCCAGGTATTTCCTAGGCGTGTCTAGAGTCCCACGCATGCATGTGGCCTTCTGGATGCCTAGGAAGATGTCAGGTCTTTCCAAAGCACCCTATGGACACATCGTTTCACAGCTTTTCCCTTTACGTTTTCTGGCCAGCTTCTCGTTTTATCCTGCTGGTGTCAGCACCTCAGGCAGCTGCAATGTTAAGTCTTTGCTGCCGATTATTTCAGAAAAATGCCGTAGGGGTAAGGCTTTTCCCCCTGAATGAGCTCGCAGTCAGGTCAAATAACAGTAAGCCTGCATATGGGGCTTTTCCACGGAGCTGTCAGATAGATCAAGTAGTGACAATTCTCTGGAGGTGGGTCTTTCTGAGGGGCTCCAAACCCAGCCCTCCCTTCCAATGGCCGCTAGGCTGCTGGTTTCCATGACTACCACAGGCTGATGGGAATAAGGAGAGTTAAAATGCCACAAAGCTCTCTGTTTTCACTGAGATTCGGATGTTTTTCTTAACTATTCTATTGCCCGCCTTTAGTTAATTTCCCGGAGTTCTGTAAAAGTTGACTTTGACAAGTTTTGCTAGTGTTCTCAATGCTTTTATGAAGGAGCAGATTTTCAGAGGTGGTTATTCTGCTATTCCAGAAGTCCCTCCATCTTGTTTTAGCACCAAAAAAGGTGCTAAAACATTTTAGCACCAAAAAAGGTGCTAAAACATTTTATCTCATTCAAAGCCTAAATCTAGTAGTTAGATTTACTAGCCTTTTACCTATTTTTACAAACTGAACACATCCATGTAACTCATAGCCAGGATGCTTTTCATGCCCTTTCCAGTCACTAACTATCCCTCCCCCTAAGATAACGTATTTTTAAACTTAATATAATTTGAATTATTTAGAACGTTTTCTTTTGTATGACTTCTTGCACTCAACATTGCGTTTACGAGATCGACTCATTAAATGAAATTGTTCACTCATCCTCATCGCTCCAGTATTCCATTGAACAAATATACCACAGGTTATCCATTCCGTGTAGGTGGACATTTGGATTGCTTACATTTTGGGGCTCTTACATTATATTCTCGCACAGATATTTTTGTGAACATATATACACCGTCCTGTTAGATATATACCTAGAAATGGACTGCCTCAGTCAGATGTTATATGAATGTCGAGTGTCAGTGGATATGGTCAGTTTTCAAAGCTGGTGTATTACCAGTTTACATCCCAGAACAGTGTATAAGAGTTCTGTTTACTCAATTTCCTTGCCATATTTGGTATTATTCGGCTTTTTCACTTTAAGTGTTCTGATGCGTAGGTAGTGGTATACGCGTTACGACTTTAATTTGCATGTAATGCATTTGGCCAATTTTCATAGGGTTATCCGCTTTCTCCTTATCAGTTTGCAGGAGTTCTTTGCACATTCTGTATACCAGTTATTCTATACAGTTCTGCAAATATCTCCTCCCACTCTGTGACTCGCCTTTCCCTCTTTAAATGGTGGTGTTTGATAAAGAGAAGTTATCGATTTTAATGTAGTTTAATATATCCAGATTTTTTGCTTTCTGTTTGGTACTTATGGGATCCTGTTAAAAATCCTTACTGACCAAAGAAAATTAAAGATGCAATCAACTAGGCATCTTTTTTCCGCAAAACTTTTTAAAGACCTATTATTTAGGCAGAACATTTTAGTCTGCCTAGGGTTTCACCAACAGTGTAATTGACAAATGATTGCCCTCTTTAATTCACAAAAACACCCCAAAACATCAAGCCTTATATAACTCTATTCAGGATCTATTGTTCTTTCCTATCAAACCCAGCAATTGCATTGAGGATATTTCTTACCCCATTTGTTTCTGATCATCCCGTCTTCTATTTTCAGAGATGACAGAGCCCGTTCGATGTGCGGTCTTCCAACTTTCTGCTCTCCGCTCCTATCCCACAAGACACAACCTCATCTATATGTATTTCCCCTCCTGTTTCAGCGGAAGATGTTTCGTAGAGAGTAGACCTATCCTACCTTAAAAAACAAAACAAAATTTTTATTCTCTAACCCCTACTAGTTATCGCCATCTCCGGCTCTACGTATCACATACGTACACATGTGATAAAATTGCACAGAACTAAATATACCCACACAGGGAGCGCTTGTAAAACTGGGGACATCTAAACGGTGTGGCTGGAGTGTGTCAAATTCATTTTCCTGGTTGGTGGTGCCAACGGGGAAAACTGGGTGAAGGGCGTACTGATCTCTCTATATTATTTCTTACCACTATATGGGAATGTATAGTTATCTCAAAATAAAAAAGTTAAGATAAAAGTCTTCCTAAAAATAATCCATAGTAATAACTCCCATTTATCGAGTGCTCACTGTGTGCTAGATACTCTTCTAAGCGCTCTCTGGTGGATCCCCTTGTTAATCTCATTTTACAGATGACAAAACTGAGGTGCAGAGAGGCTGAGTCACGTGCCCAGGGTCACTCAGTTCATATGCCGCAGAACTAGCATCCAGTTCCAGGCAGCCTCGCTCCAAAGATAGAGCGAGCTCTTAACCACTTGGCTGTTCTTGCACCTCTGTCTTCATCTCCTGACCCCTAGTCACACCTCAACCCGCCCCTCTCTAAGGCAGCTTCCATCCCGGGCACAGCCCAGAAGCTGCTTTTGCCTGGGTTACCAACAAATCCATTGCTAAACCTAACGGGTTCTTTTCGGTTCTAACCATTCTTTCTGCAGCCTTTGCTATTAATTCAGGCATTCTTCGAGTATTTATTGAGCGCCTACAGCGTACCAGACGCTTGTTTGACAGCAATGAACGAGACAGGCAAAACTGCTGTAACCGCCAAATTTGCATGTCTTTACTGTCACAGTTAGGGGGGGCAGAAATCTGCGGTCACTGCTGGCCGGTTTGTGGATGGTCAGCAGACCACCTTACTGTTCTGTGCTTTTGTCTTTCTGTGGCTAAAGCGGATCGTATTGTTATTTTGTTTGTGATTACACAACATAACTCAGAATACACTATATTTAAAGACCATTTTCACTTTCCTCCAGAGAGAAATCCAGGCCTGTCCAAGCCGTTGTCACGAATACGAGTGACGTAAGAGAACCAACTCCTGAAGTTGATTCCCCGCCTTATATAATTATTAATGGTAAATTGTGAAAAATAACTGCCTCTGACCTTTCACCTACTTTTTCTGTATAAGAATAATTTGGATTAATTTTCATGCCTCCTTATTCAGAAACGCCAGGAAGATCTCTGCAGAATATTAAAATCAGTCGCATTCCATATGTCCAAATAAAAAGCTACTCCAAGGAAAATACTTGATTTCATGGAGACCCGATGCTAGTTTTTCGCATGTCACCAAAGCTAAGCACGTGAGCCGGAGTTGCAGAAAAGGGATCACCTTGACTTTGGTCGTTTTCTGCCTTATCATTCATTCCCTTCCCCAGTTCAGTAAAGAAGAAACAAAGAAATCCTCTCCTACTTGTTAATGCCAAAAACCAGCTCTTGTTTTATTAGTTCTAATGGGAATGTGTTTCGCTTAATGATGAGAAGCAATAATCCTCTTACTTACTGTTTTCCTCCGACAGCTGTTTGTTTACGGCAGCAGTTAGCAATTTGCATGGACAATGCTGTCAAAGCCACTGCCCCCAGTGAAACCCAAATGCCTCTCGGAAGAAAGATGACAGATTCAGCCCAGCGGCTTGCAAAACTTTAAAAGTGATTCCTTGTCAAACACGTGAAAAACAACTCTTCCCTCTCCATGACTTGAGATAAAAAACGAGAAACTATCTTAGGCCAGATGGCGGTTCTTTGCTCATAAAACCGGCCGGGGCTGGTTCAGCCCCGTTCCTTTACGTTACTTTGTAAAACCCACAAAGAACACATTTGGGGCCACTTTTCAGAGTTGGCAACAGTCTCTGCTTTTTAAGGAAATCATATGGACACAAATAAAGCCACAGTGGATGAAGGGCTGGGATTCCCCTGGGCCCCGGAACAAGATGATGCATAGACCTTAAATTCCAGCTCATGGTTAGAACCTGGCCCAGGGCCCGAGAATCATCGCAGTTGTTGCCAGGTTTGGTGACTTGATTAAATCTGGTTGAGACAAAAACAGATAGGGAAAAAGTCATATTTTCTAGCTGACTAGATCTCTTTCAAAAAAAGGGGGGCGGGGAGAAGGAGGAGGAAAAAGAAAAGGAGTCGAGGCAGGGAGGAGGGATAACTATAAAAACTATAAAAACACCCTTGGGGGTGACAGGATGGTTCCTGAACTTCCAATGATTCTAGGTCTAAAGAATTCAGTCTTTAAGTTCAGTACCTTTCTCTACCGTTAACATGTCAGGTGTTATAGCTGCTTCCGTATATTTAGACATTATTTAGACTGGATTGGAACTTGTGTGTGTGTGTGCGTGTGTGTGTGTGTGTGTGTAATAACCTTGCCTTTTTAAAGATGGAATAGATGTTTCCTGAACTTCCAATGATTCTAGGTCTAAAGAATTCAGTCTTTAAGTTCAGTACCTTTCTCTACCGTTAACATGTCAGGTGTTATAGCTGCTTCCGTATATTTAGACATTATTTAGACTGGATTGGAACTTGTGTGTGTGTGTGCGTGTGTGTGTGTGTGTGTGTAATAACCTTGGCTTTTTAAAGATGGAATAGATGTCTCAGGACATAATGAAAACCTCTCACTGCACATTTGAAACAGTCCGGTCAGCTGCTTGCTAGGGATGTTGTACAGAGGATTTAAACACTGGTAATTGTTATTGGTTAATTTGGAAGGTTTCTTCTTCACCTAAAATTCTATGCATTATGGATCGGTCCCCTTCTCCTGTCCTTTTTAAAATTACCTTGATTTGGGGGTATTCTCAGCCATTTAAGGTAATGCCTTTTGTCTGTTTATTTTTGTCATAGATGCAAGAAAACACTAACCTTTGTTAACGTTCTACTTTATTGCTTTAGGTGTCTGAACACACGCAACTAAGTTGGATCCTTACCTGCATGGTCAGGCTGCCCCGCTTACAGCACTTACACCAGTGGAAGGTAAGCGCTACTGATCTGATTGATAAACAGAAGGAAGTCCGAGGTCCCCCTGACAGCTCTTTTTTCCACTCTCTGTTTATTTTTGTGCTAGGCTCTGGGAATCCTGAGTTTATTGGCCTTCCAGGTCTGCTACTCAGTAGTGGCTAGAAGTTCTATCTTTAAACCCTGCCTCAGGGTATTAAATGGAAAGTAAAAGGGTTTTCCAAGATTCCTTCCTACTTAAAAACTGGTTAAAAATACCCAGCTTATTATTCGGTTTTATCTGTGTACGGTTGAATGAGAGTGACCTCCGGATGGACTTGGTAATGACTTTGAAGCTACTGCATTATCATTAATGAAGAATCACAATTTCTGGTTCACTGAACCCTGAAGTTGTCCCATCTCCACTGGAAGTAACTGGCAGTCGAGCAAGAATGTTTTCGTCGTGGGGAGACGAGACCACACATTTTATTTAGTATTTAAATAAGTCGAGTCCAGGCAACAGTTCAAACCTATAGAAAAATTAAAGCTGTACTTTTTTCTTAGAAATTCAACCGAGAAAGAGAAATTGGATAATTCATTGTACTTTGCTTCCACTGATTTTTGCAATCGGATAACCCAAGGGTAGGTAGCCCCCAACTACGTCATCGCTAATTTCAGTGTCAAGCTTCTTTGCAGCACATCTTCAGAGCCACTGGTTTTCTCAAAAGCTGGTCCAGGAGCCTTCGCATATGCTGCAGAGACAACCGGCTTTAAAACGACAGTGCCTAAGTGAGAGGTGTCGGCGATGCTGAAGAATCATTCGCTGCCAGGAATTATAAATAAAACTTTATAAGTTCTCTACCATAGTACTCTAACACTCAGTTAAATACTAAAATCCTTTTTATAAGAAGTGAATACTAATTTAATGGGAAAGATTCCTCCTTTAAAATAGTGGATAAAGACCTCCTGAAAACAAATGTACTGATATTCCGGAGAAGCCTTCCCACTAGCCCGTAATTTCTTATTTGTGCGAAAAACATGGATTTCAAATGCCAGCCTTCTCCTGGAGCATGTTACTGCCTTCTGCGATCATTTCTTCATTAACAAATACCGATGACGCCCTCTGCAAAGTCTCATGCTACGCCAGGTGTTGGGGGAACAGCAGTCACCAAAGACAGACGGATGCAGTTCTTTTCATGAGGCTCCTTGTCTATTTGGGAAGGGACAATTAAACAAATAATGGGAAAATGCGGATGGGAAGGAGGGGAGGGTTCCGGCACTGTGGAAGAGGGTGGGTTGGTTTTGACTGGGGCAGCGAGGGGCGGGACAGCGGGGTGGAAAGGTGGAGTCAGGGCTGTGAGGTCAGAGTTACTTGGGGGATTAAAGATATAACACAGATGTAAGGCATCTGGGGTGCATAATAGGCACTCAATAAATATTATTGCTCTCCACATCTTTCTCTTCTCTTTGTAATTTCAAGGTTCAGTATTCTAATATAAAAGACTATAAATCTAATGCAATAGCAACTTTTAAATATTGGGTTCTTTCCCGTTTGCTCACTTCCAAGTTCAGCTTTCATTATCTTTACCCAGTGGTCATTGCGAACCAGCCTTTCTCATGGACATTGTAATAAGGAGACATACCGAAGGAACTGTGCATTCAGACTTTCAAGTTTCCTTTGAATGGTCCATAGCTTTAGATGCTGAACCCAGAAACCGCTGGAAGTAACCAGAAATGTTAAGTTTGTAACTAAATTATGAAACATTGACATGAAGATGGTGAAAGAGAGAAGCTATCGCTTTTCAGACCCAGATGGGAAGGGCGTGTCTGCACGTTAGTGGGGAATGCACGAGTTGTGAGCCCGTGAGCTTGGTTTTGGGGGCCGCGTAAGTTCATAGGTTCATTTGTTGAGTTCATTCAGAAATAATCGGGCCTCTGAGAAGTGATTCATATTAAATAAACAAGTGAGATTTATCTATGCCCCAAAATATCTATTTATCGTTTAACAAGCAATGAGATACCTAAGCCTTAGACACAGTTGCCAGGGGACTGCACACAGTATTTCCTGCTAATAAGCAACTCTGCTCAGAACCGAATTACCTGTCGGCACTGTTTAACTGCTGCAGGGCACTTGGTATCACTGGGGCCCGTGTTCAGCGGGCACGGACCTGTAGTTTATAGTTGGCACCCATTGCTCGCCGGTTACTAAATATTTCTGACGTCACCTCTGGTGTTTCCATCATCTTCTCCAGTAAGGAAATATTTTGGTCTACACAACGCGTCCTGTGTCTCGGAAGCACTTTGCTTTCTCTGACTTAGCACCTAAAAATCAATACAGATAAATCGCGATGGGTAGATTAAAATTTCTCTTCATTTCACTGTTTAAACGCCATGATTTGGGGGTTTGTTGTCGTTGTTGTTGTTTTCTTAAATGTGATTTTAAGGCAGCATTCCAGTTTTGCCAACGGCACAGTGTGCAACTTTCTGGGCGATTTCCTCAGAAAAACAAAAGCATTGGCTATTAACTCATGTTATTTATAGAAACTTAATTTTATGACATTTTCTGACCTTACCTGTGAAATCTGGAGAGTATCTTATTCGGAAGCTTAAAAACTCTTATGTCCTTACTTTGATAAAATGAATTTAAAAATAGTGGGAGTGCAGGATCCTTTAAAGGGTTGTAGTGAAGTAGACTTGCCTTATTACCATTTAATCCTGGAGCATGAAGACGAGGCAGCTAGAAGATGGCTAGACTTGCTCAAAGGAACTGAGATATGATGTTATTACAGGTGGCTTCAGATCACCTTTTGCCTGCTTTAAAGATTTCTTAATTTAGCAATATATTTGGGTTCATGTCAGATTCTTTCCCTCCTCTCTTTTCACCCCCATAGGCAAAAACTGCCAAGCAGAAGCACGACGGAACTGTGGGCCTGCTCACGTACCCCGTGCTCCAGGCAGCTGACGTCCTGCTGTACAAGTAAGGAGCGGAGTTCACCCTGGTCCTATACATACCTGACTCATGCTGACGAGGGCGTGTTTGAACCTATCCCCCAAAAGATTCGGTTCACGGGAGAGGGGGACGTAGAAAGGATCCGACACGTGAATCAGTTTGCATCTGTTCCCCAGTAATAGGTGCTACATTGTAGAAGTATGTTCCCCTGTGACACTAATAACATTGAGGGCTAACGCTTAAATAGCACATATTTGCTGGAGACTCTTATAAGTGCTTTACATACATTAATCCATTTAATCCTCACAACGACCTTATAAAAATTGCATGGCTACCATCCCCATTTTACAGATGCGGGGACTAAGACCCAGAGTGGTTAGCCACTTGCCCAAAGTCACGTAGCTAACAGGATTAGAGTCTCGAAAGTTCGCATACAGAGTTTGTGCTCCCAACCACTGTGCAATATGTCCTTCCCCAGTAATAATTAAACTTTGAGAGTTTTAAGTGTCGATTTCTCGTGTAATCTGGATTCTAAAGCAATGCCGTTCCACGGAACCTGCCTGCAATTATGGAAATGCGTTCGCGCTTTCCAAGACCTTGGCCACGCGCCACGTGTGGCAGTCGAGCACTTGAAATGTCGATAGAGGAACTGAATTTTACATGTTATTTAATTTTAATTCATTTAAAGTTTCGCAGCTACCTGTGGCTAGTGGCGACTGTACTGAACCTGCAGGTTGAGAGTAAGTTTTTCAACATGACATAGGGTGCCCTCCCTTCTCCTGGACCCATCATCCATCTAATCAGCTAGTGCCCCCGCTTACAGGCCTCAGAACAAGGCCGCCAGAGAACACTGGGGTCTGTACTCTCTGAACTGCTCGCCAGGGCTTCTGGCCCCTTCCCTCTCCCAGTTCCTCCCTGCTCTCCCCACAGCACCTCCCTAGGCCCCACCTGGCCTTCTAGATCACCTCGCACATGCGGCCAAGCCTTGCTACTAGGAAAGCTTCTGATGAGAAAGAGAAATCCCATTAGTCATCTTCCTCCCCTTTCCCCTAAAGCCTCCCGCGAGTCTTCCCTCGGAGAACTCGAATTCTTTGGATGTAAATGTGATAATAGCATGCAGGTGACAGTGTGCGTACCTTGTGGCATGACCCCGGGGCCCTTATGAAATTACGATGGAAACACCCAGAAGAGTAGCTGCTTAGCTTTCCTTCTCGAACTCCTACCGATCTATTGAGTGGTTAGAATATGTGCCGAGGGTGACATACAAACCCTTTCTTTTCCCTGTTTTCTAAAAGGAGGATTACGGTGTCAGATTCCTATTTATCCCCATCAGGATTCCGATATTTTACATACAATTTGTTAAAACAAACAGATAAAAATTACACACACACACACACACACACACACACATATACATACATATATATATATATGTATATATATATATAACACTAGGTAATTATCTATATTAAGAGAAACTATCTACCTGTGATGACATAATTGGGTCATAGGCATGGAGCAGACACCTGTATCTCCTTTGCTTAGGAGAAACAGCCCTATATTTCCCTCCCGTCTGGTCTCAGGCCGGAACTCATGCTGCCAGCCACACATGCTCGGCTTGTAGACTCTGTCCCTTTGGACTCCTTTCTCCTGCCACCTTCCCGCAGACTGTCCCCATGGGAACTGTTGCCACGCAACACATATCCCACATTTCCTGGGCACATGTGTCACTTAGACCACTGCAAGGTGTGCAGACAAGTACGGTAAGATCAGCCCTGGTTTACTACAGCATTTACTGTGCTGACGTACATTCCTCATCTGCTCCATTATGCTCCCTCCCAAGTTTAGAAATCCCTCGTTTGCCTGATAATAGGTAACAGAGGCAGGACTCAAACCCAGATCTGGTTTTCCGTCTGTGCCATTGTTTTCTCCATAACAGAGCTCAAGCACTTGGGGGGCATTTTTGTTTGGTTTTGTTTGTTTTGGGTTCAGATATTTCAGGATTTTGAAAAAAGGTCATAGCCAGAATGTGTATGAATAGTTACATTTTATAGATAGGTTTAAAAAAAAACAAAGATAGATAAATAGATAGATAGATGATAGATAGATAGATAGATGATAGATAGATAGATAGATAGATAGATAGATAGATAGATAATAGACAGAGAGGAGGGAGAGAGAGAGAGAGATAGAAAAGCATTTGTGTTTTTTCCTACCAGCAAATTTATATGTAGCTTCTTCATAAAATGTTGATGCAGGAGAAGTATAGATTTTATGTTTGCTTTTGTCAAAATCAGCATTAGAATGAGTGGTGCGTGGCGGACGGGAGAATGAATGCGAGAAAGGGCATGGAGAGGAGCCTTCGATCAGTGTCTGAAAGATTTATGTGGTTGTTTTGGCAGAACTTGGTAAGGAATCCAGAAACGGAGAGCTGAGACCATCTAAGACTTGAGAGTCTAATAAAATAAATAGCAGCTATTGGAAGAGAGACAAAATAAAAATAGCAAGTATTCATAATTTTTATTTTGCATCTGCTTTTTTCTGAATAGTTTCAAATAGCTGACTATTAAATATTTTTTCTCACATCACACTCTCTACACACACACACACACGCACGCATGCACACACACATGCACACACACATACACACATACATACAGTTTTGTTAAGTACCCGTGATGCCCCTCATCCGGAAAAAGGCATCATGCATGGACCGAGGAAAAGGGGAGGAAAGAATTACCGTGTGGAGACTATTATCTGTCAGGCACCGTATTAGCTGCTGCACGCAGTGTCTATTCAGATTCGCCCAGCAGCTCGGTAAGATAGATAAGTGTCTTATCCCCATTTCACAGATAAAGAAGTGGCATTGTAGAATGTCACTGGATCTGCTCAGACAGAGATGAGCGTGATTACCTGGGCTACCTGCTTTCTGTCTCTCAAGAATGTGAACAGAGAAGTGTGGGAAGAGAAGAACGCAGTGAAAGCAAAAGCTGAGATGACGTAGGAAAATGAGGGAGCAGTGGCCGCGAGGAACTGAGCGTAAGCAGAACCAAAGCCGGCGGAACACAGAGTAGGGAGAGTGAATGACCGGATGCCCACGTGCGGCTCGCTGGTCCCAGCAGGGAGCCGAGTCGCCAGACCGTCTGGGGATCAGACTATTGCCGTTCAGGGCAAACGAGATAGTCAGCTCCTGAAACTGCTCGGGAGACTTCTCATTCTTTACTGACATCCTTTTCCGTGAGGCCTGTCTGTCTCGAATTTTATGAGCTCCTTAAAGCTTTGGGCTGAAAACCTCGCCTCACTTCTGCGGTCTGCCGACGCCCACACGGGCACCCGCAACTGCCAAAGCAAGCGTTTCTTCTCTTTCCGTCTTACTTTCCAGCTCCGGGGCAAATCCTACACCAAACCAGACCCCCCTCCTGGAAGGGAGCCTGAGAAACGTAGCTTCTAGGCTGCTAGCCCCTGGAAATCAAGAGAAGGGAGAGAAGGGTACAGGTCGTCGACAGACAATCCGGTACCCGCTCCTGAAAGCAATGGGAAGCTGTTTGTGCATTTCAAGGACAGAATGAAATAATCCGATGCGTCCTTTTGAAGGAGAACTGGTCAAAATGTAGAGAGTGAATTGTAGGGGACAAGAGCAGCTGGGGCAGGCTATTTAGAGGCTCTTGCACTAGTCTGTTTGGACCGTGATGGCGACGGTGAAGATGAGAGAGTAGACAAGACGTACGAGATGTCAGGAGGTACAAGGGTTAGGGCCTCACAACGGGCTGGATGTGTATGAGGAGCCGTGTCGGGCATGACCCTGGGGTTCTGACTCTGCTACTGGATCGATGGTGTTGCTGTTCACTGGGACAAGGAGACGGCCCGAGGACCAGCCCGAAGAACGTCTGGTTCCATTCGGCGTTCTCTCTCTTCCTGGCCTTAACCCCCTAGAAGGTAAAATCTTCAGTAGATCGCTCACAGCGCCCAGCACCAGGCCTTGCGTATCGTGGGTCTTCCATACGTAGTCGCTAAATTAGAGTCATCACAGCATATCCAGCAAGCAACCAGAGATGGTGGATTAATCGTTTACAAAAGGAAACACGGCACTAAAAGCTTGTCCCCGCCAGGCTGGTTGAAGGCAACAGCATGGAAAACTCACCGTCACAGCCAAAGAAGTAGGGGGAAAAAAAAAAAAATAAGAGAATAAATCTCTACGAGCAGATATATGTAGGCATTGATTATTCATCTAGACACTAATTCTGCCAGAGGGTTGGGCGGATCCCAAGTAAATGTATATGCAATGAGGAACTCTGCAAAAGAAAAATGGCTTTGTCACCAGAGAAGAAGATCAGACGCATTATTATGTGACAGAAGCTATAACAATCAAAATTATGAAAGACTTTTGTTTTATGTTGTGTCTAAGAAAGCACACTCAGAGTAAGGAAAAAAAGGAAAGAAAATGGAAAAAAAGAGAAGACATATTAATATGGATATCATAATGGAGGGTATAAATTTAAAAAAAAAAAAAAAAAACACACCAGCACTAAATTATTTGAAGTGAAGGGAAGACTGTGAGGGAGAGAGGTTGCAAATGTGAAGAGAATGAGCCCCATAAGTGAGCGGAATCAAAGACAGGCTGAATTAATGTGAAGTGTAAACTCAACGGAGGAGAAGGCAGGGCCAAGATAAATTGTAAGAGGTGAAAGCTGCAGGAGCAGAGGGAGGAAAGACTAGAAACAAACAAACTCAAATCAGATGAAGAAGCCAAGTGGAACAATAGGACCAGGTGAAAAAAATTAACATTTTTTAAATCCTTTTTTTTTTTTTTTCTTTTTTAAAAAAAAGCAAAACCTCACAGAATCATAAGAAAAGAGGCAAGGACTCGACATAAGGCAAAGACGCACGCAGAGTCATTATGAAAACTAAATGTGTTTTCTGTTTAGTTTGGTTGCTTTGTGAGTCTGGAACCGTTTTGACATGTGGAAATATTCATTTTGATGTGCTTAAAGTGTATTGATTATGGTAATTGTTTTTTCTGTGTTAGT